CGCCTCGCCTCCGCCCCGCCTCCGCCTCCCCTCCCCCTCCGCCTCCTGCTCCGCCTCCGCCTCCGCCTCCGCCTCCGCCTCCGCCCTCCGCCTCCGCCTCCCGCCTACCGCCTCCGCCTCCGCCCTCCGTCTCCGTCTCCGTCTCCCGTCCTTCCCCTGTCTTCCGTCTCTGTCTCCGTCTCCGCCTCGTCACCGTCTCCGTCTCCTCTCCGTCTCCCGCCTCCGGTCTCCGCCTCCGTCTCCGCCTCCGCTCTCCGCCTCCGGCTCCGCCTCCGCCTCCGTCTCCGCCTCCGTCTCCGCTCCGTCTCCGCCTCCGTCTCCGTCTCCGCCTCCGTCTCCGTCTCCGCCTCCCGCCTCCGCCTCCGCCTCGCCTCCGTCTCGCCTCCGTCCCGCCTCCGCCCTCCGCCTCCGCCTCCCCTTCCGCCTCCGCCTCCGCTCCGCCTCCGCCTCGCCTCCGCCTCCGCCCCCACCTCCCAACGCTTACTCCTCGCCTTCGCTTTGCCACCGCCTCAACATCTTCCCACTCATCCATCGCCGCCACCGCCACCCCTCCGCCTCCGACTTCGCAACCACCACCGCTTCCCAAGCTGCCGCCCCGCCGCCGCGGCCACCGCCACCGCCACCGAATTCGCCTCTATCACTGCCTCCGCTACCTCCACCGCAGCCGCCAACGCTTACACCTCCGCTACCGCCACCGAAACTTCCTCTGCCTCCTCCTCCTCAGGTGCACTCTTTTGTTGCTTCCTCAGCGCTTCCTGTCGTAGCTCTTTCGTCCCTGCGTCTTTTCCGCCCGAATTATAGCCTAACCTTCCCCTCGCGGATTCAACTGCTCCTTATTTACCTTTTGCAGGATTACGTGTTTTTTAGTTCTCTAAATCTTTCTTCCCGGATGCTTTTACGAGTGTTGCGGACGAATAGAACAGAACATTCCATTGCTTCTTTGTGAACATTTTACCAAAGTATGCAATTTGGGCATTTGTTTTTGATTGAATGCTTTTGAACTACACAAAACTTTAATAACGAAGACATACGTTTTTGAAGATCAACACTGACACGAGGTTGTTGGTATATGCACCAAACTGTGCAATTTTGAAGTGGAAATATTTATTTACAATATCTTAAATGAAGATTGTAATGTATGCGAAATGGGAAATGCATTGTATGTATCTCCCATGATTTTGCGACATTTCTCTTGATGCAGGCTAAAAGATTTTCAGAAAAAGACGAATTATCTCAGAGAACTGAAAACACAATGTAACCGTCAAATACTCACTCTTGAGAATTGGGAGGGCTTTATTTATATTCGTAGATCAGAACATTTTTGTTTTGTTTTAAAGCATACCATAAGAAATTATAATTTGGAATGAATCTGAATTCAAACTATATTTCATTACATCAATTATATATCTATTTCGATGATGGTAAATTCACCATCAAATAAAAATACAGTGGTAGACTTAGAATAATGCCACCCAATATATGCAAATTTTGTTCGCATCCATGATAGTGGCTGCGTATGGGAAGTCAGAAAAATTAATTTGGGCGGTGATGAAACATTCAATTTGAATTCCAGATAAGACGCTATACTACACGATGCTGTTAAAGAGATTTTAAGGCAGATGGCGGATTATGCTTAAATGAAATCACATTGAGAATAGTGCTTATTTAATAGAGATTAAGAAAAAAAGGATTGTGTAAAAGATAGCGTTAAAATGTATCAGAATTGATATATACGAATCGTTCCCTTCAATTTAAACTATTGGAAAAACCTGAATATATTATGTGCTTTCAAAGTATTCCAAATATTTTTTATGGAATTTACCTTTTTATGACAGAAATATTTAAAAAATTTGGGAATCCACAACCTACTTTCGAAGTTTCAAATTATGAATGAAGTATATTTTTTATAATAAAATGTTGGGACTCATAAAATCTTTGGCCAGAAGAATAAGAAACGAAAGAAGAAAAAATGAAAACGAGTTGTGCTACAAATACGTATGCGTTTCTTCTAAAAGAGATCTGACAGAATTCTAGATCAGAAAAAGCGCAGATTGTAGAAGTAGGACAAATGGACACCAGCTGAGACATCTACCTTGTCAAGATTCGACAATATTTTGCTACCAAACAAATTTGCTGGAGGTCAATATTTTTTCATCTCGCCATTTACATACTTATATAATTTACCCATCGCTATTTAGCAGCCATGCGATGCGGCAGCAGAGGAAGCTAAAAAATGATCTATATGTACGTCATCCACACGATGTGCATTTTTTAAATAAACCATGTAACTCATATGTGGGAACGCCTTATAACTCGCTAATAGAAAATCAGATACAGTGTGACTTGAATAACTGGAACTTCAATAATTCGAATTAGTAGTTAATTTGCAGATTTGTCTGTCGACCAGGACTAATGAAAAATATTCATTTATAATTCTAAGTTTATTTTCCTCAATTCTAAGTTTTTGTAGACACTATCACTCATAACTCTTTTTCTCAATATATTTACTTACTGAACGAGTGACCTGTTCAGATATTTCTTGGATCTGAAATCAAACCAAACTAGTGGTGCTACAAAAAACATATTCTTGCATTATTTGCAGCACATTTTACAGACAAGCAAGATAATTTCACATATAAATTGAACATCAAGAACTAAAGGCTTTTCAATATATCGCTTTATGAATTCATCCGAAACTACGATATTATTACGTAAAGTCTAGCATCATAATCTGTGTATATATTCTCCCCGACTTTAATGAAGTTAAATGTACCATTTTATTGGCCATAAACACATTGAAACATTACTGTTTAGTAAATTAAGTCGCCTTAACTTACGTCTCTCCCATCCATCTCCCCCTCTAACAATGACGTTCTCGGAATAATATGTCTACGTCGCGTATGATAGTAACATCAAATTATCGTAATAAAAGTTCGTAGAAAATTATGATACTACTTTTTTCAATATTTCTTTCATAGATATGTCTTATTTTTTACATTCAATATTTCTTACATTTTTGTTTTACATTACAAATGAGTATTTTTAGGAGAGACAATCTAGTTGGACTAATTTCAATTATGATTTGCGGATTATTTGAAAGAAAATTCATCAATGCATTGCAAATACAATTTGTCGAAATAGAGTAAAAATGAAACTAATATTGAGAATATCACTTGAAAAGAAAATTTGTCAAAGAACTGTCTAAGTTATTATAAAAATTGAAACCTAACCTTGCCTGAAAACAGTTCCACTTTTTCATAAATCATTAATTCAAGATATTAAAGAGATTGCATCTACATAGTAAAGATTGTAATCAAAATTGACGATTTCAACTATATTGGCTTAGAATTACTATTACTTTTTCAAGTTAAGGTTTTAAAAATTTTGTGCGACTTGTCAGTTTCTATCTGAGAAAATTGTAAATTCGTGCTCACATATATTAATTAGCATTTCAAAAGAAAATGTTTTGAAATAAATATTTATAAAATATACAAATCCTAGTTTTGTTTGCAATCTTTTGATCTCTGAACAGGGTTCTAAAAACTGAACCAAAATGTAATATAGTACATGATTCAAACTGCTGTTTAATGTAATCCTTGATGTACGTTTTATGAGTAAACATAAATTTTAACAATAGTTTGTCTGTTATAACCTATAATAATTATTAGCATGAGCATTGAACGTTTTATTTGCTCTAAAATTATTTATCATTTTGGTTATTTCAACGTTTCTCATAATTATTCTTCTGACCAAAATTTTCGTATTTTTCCAATCAAATACGGGTTTGTGGAAAGTTAATGTATAGTTATAATAATATGTTTATGATCAAGTAAGTTGTAGTTTTTATATGCCTTACGTTTGTAGTCCTTGTAACCCTTTTAATTTTCTTATATAACTTGCATTTTGTAGTTTACTAACAGTTCTATAAACAATATTCATTGCATAGAAATGATAAGTCCTTCTTTTTTGAAACTATTAAAATTATTATCTTTTGCAAAATAGTTTTTATATTCATACTCAATAAATTATTCTTTAATTTACTAGCTGTGAGAGGGTGAATTGTAATGTTTTTGTTCGTGGTTAAGGTTACCTCCAATTGTGTTCATTTGCCTATTGTTACAGTGATCACATGTTATTTATATTCTTCTCAACATGTTTATTAATAAATAACTTCCTGTGATACGAATTTTTGATATCAATTTCTTATGAGTTTGTTAAAAATCTATTTCAGAATATCTCTCTTCTTGGGACATAAGTTTTGCAAGTAAAATACTTTTATCAACGAAATTATATCTTAATTATTTTTATTGTTTGCTAATTATTAAATTTGTAGTTATTGCTTATAATACATTAATTACAAGTTAAAAAACAACATTGTTGTTTAAGCCTTTACATACGTAATATAAACATATTAGCATACTAAAACAATATAATTAATTCTTACGTAGTAGAAATATCAAGCTTTCTATATTACTACACAGCTTAAAATATTTTCTAGCAACGATGATTACTAAAAATTGGTTTTTTACACACTTAGCTAAGATATATAATAATCTTTATATTTATTCCTACATTCAATCATATAACGTTACTTCATACAAATAATAAGGGGAAAATAAAGATAAAACATAATAATAGAAACACATAACCTCACTCGCAAAACGGAAGATTTAAGCTCATTAATGAGTATGTATAAACCATGTTTATGATAATTAAACTTTTTTGAGATTTAATTCACATAACATTTCAGTGAAGCTCAACATGTATTATATTAACATGTAGAGATGATCTTTATTTTTAGAACAAATTATATTTGTTACTAAATACCCTTACGCCTTCAACATTATAAATATTAACTAAAACATTATTAGTAGTAGAGTAACATATTACTTACATAACACACAAATCACAGATAAACATTTCTGACGTTTTAACATGATAATACATATACATTACAGTTAAAAGATGAATGCATGACACAAATATTGTGATTCACTGTCTCAATTATTTGTGCTATAATACAGTTTGGGATTGTATTTTAAACAACAAGTTATAATATTTTGTAATTCTTCTACATCATTCTCACATTCGTTCTCACTTACATTTTCATCATCGTCTGGGGTATGGTTCCAAGACCACTGAACTGTTTCAGAAACTCTTCTGTCATACTCCATTCGATTTTTCACGAATAAAGTAGCTGCCTCAGCGTTTGTAGCTAAACTTAGATTTGGTTCTTTGAGAACAGATTGAATTGTCATCAGTAAGTATGCCACGTCGTGCATGTGACTCCATTTTTGGTCCAAAATATCTATAGAGATGTTTCCACTGACATGTACGTTCGGGTGGAACATCTTTGACATAAATCGTACTACTGGTGGTGTTGTAGGGTACTCTTTTGTGAATTGCAATTGTATTTTAAACGTACCGTCTTCATATGGTGTGCCCGTAGGGCCAAACATCACTCCGTTCCATAACAAAAAGTTACCATTTTCGGGTGAAACACACACTCCTAAAGTTAAATCTTGTACAACTCTGGCAAAGTCTTTAATTAGACGTTCAGGCGCAAGATTGTCCATTATTATAAAACACTTTTGAACTATTCACATAAAAGTGTTTTAAGAGTTAAGTCGCTATTGAACACTTCAAGTCCCGGTAATTCTGTAAATTTAAAGTAATCCATTTCACTTCATTATTTTACAAGTATTGTACTCAATCTAATCAATTATTAGAAGAGAAACGGAACATATACTTACTAGGGCTCTAAATCATTATATCCAACTCACAATGTTCAAAGCAACTACTCCCTTCACAGAGAACGTACAAACAAGTGAAGTCAAAGAACATCTCGTATCCTGAATCCAATGACATTGTTGGAATTTTCGAATTAGTTTTTGTACCGATACTCGAATTGACATTATTGACTACTTATGACACAGTTTCTACAAGTACTTACACAATTATTACAAATATCTCTATTTCAAATTAAATATGATTGCTGCATAAATGTAATAAAGCATAATGTACTTCTTGTACTTCGGATAATGTATTCAAAATTGCAAAAACAAGTTATCTACAGTAATTTACGCTGTAGACGTATTGTCATACATATATATTACGAACAGAGCAGAAACGAATGACGAACCCTCAACGGGCGATAGTTCCAGCCAGACAGACAAGCAGCCAGCCAGCCAGCAGCACAGTGTTACTTCATACAGCGCGATCAAATGCACGGAAAGTATCCGCAATCGAATTTAAATATTGTAATTTTATGCAATGTTATTGTATTACAGAATATGGAACATCGTTAACACGTTAAGTCCAGAACATTAATGAACCAAATGTTTAATATTTTTTTTTATTATGAGATGTATAGAAGGGCTGGGGACAGAAACAAGACACATCATACCAGTTACAGCAGAGCTGAGGCTAATTATAATGTTACTGTCGCTGTTTTAGTTAAAGGATTGCGTAACTTTTTAATTCAATTATTTTTTTATTTATTATTTTCTGAAGTAATTTGTGCAGTAACAAGAAGAAAAACATTTGCTCCAAAATCACATATTAACATTTACGAAAATGTTGTTTATCTTGTAATTATCGTAATATCAATGAATTATATTTTCAAAAAGTTTAAATAGTTTACATGGAAAAAATAATGTGTTACCGAATACCCCAAATTTCATAATGTGTAGTCTTTTCCTACTAAATATGACAGATCAGAGCATGATAGATGAAAATTAGACATTTTTAAAAAACTAAGTAAGCAAGTATAATTTTTGTTATGTCTGATTTGGAAGATAATTGAATTTTCGTCAGCTTCGTATAACATTAAAGTAATAAAAATGTTGTAGCACTTTGAAGCATGTATTAGTGAAGATTCAAGAAATAGATTTTCTTAAGTAAATAATAGTTAAGTTAATGAGTTGCATATGCATTCTTTCATCTCTATAATCTCAAAATGCAACCTCCAATGACATAATATGAAACATGTTTCAATAATTTGGGTGCTTTCTCTTTTTAAATCATTAAAAACATAACTGACAAGGAGGGAGAGAAAAGCAGTATTTAGTGTTCAGAAGTATAGGACTATTTCAAGCTATTGTTTTGCATTTGTCAATTATTTATTTTTATATAGTAGTTTATGATATTATATTATCCGTTCCTGGCCGAATTTTAACAAATTCAAATCTGATGAAAGAAGCATTGTTTGTAATAAAAAATATTATTAATGATTTATGATTTATTATTATGAAATATTATGATTTATTTGTCTTTTAAAATTGCCCAGTGAGAACATATTATATGAAACTTCTTTGATATTCTTCTTTGAAACTATTTCAAACTTCGCAACTCTGGAATTCCGCAACTCATCAAATTACACTAAACTAAAAACCTATAAAAATGAGAGTCACATCCACAAAAGTGGGAAAGCCCGAGTCTGGTTGGAACCAAAGTGAACTATACATTGTTGTACTCTTTGGTTCGAACATGGGGTTGGTTGATACGTGAGAGGTTTGCCAGACGTACGCTATCATCCATTTACAATAATGTGTTATTATGTACAATTTACGATTACTGTAAAAAAAAGACCGGAAATATAATCAATTTGTACCTATAATCATTTGGTATACGATTAAGAATGCATTTTTTGAATTAATTGAGACTGCATGACCGAGTGATATGTTAACATGCGATAGAAGTCGCTCGCTAAATCTGAAGCATGATGGAATGACATTGGAAGTATAAGGGACTCCACTATTACTTGGAGTTCGCTTTCAAGTTTTCACATTCTCAAAGGTTCAATTACATAATAAATAAAATACGTTTTAAATTGTTTTCTCTACTATAATGGTTTTTAAGTGTTTCTTTTCATTTACGATAACTACAAAAGAAATTCCAAAAATTGTAATTTGTTTTTATTTGATGAAATCCTTCGGTTCCGAGACGGTTCTGTCTTCCACATAAGGTACAACTAAAACTGTATTTATAAAAAAATGCAGAATGACGGAGTTAAAAAGATTTTCACAATATTAATTAACAGAAAGAAGAACATAAAAAATACAAAATTCAATAAATAAATATATAAATAAATAAATATACATCCAATTCATGAAAGCGTGCCTTTTATAATATACTTCATAACCAAATGGAATATATAAAAAACATAGACAAAATATACCAAAATATATCTAGTTAAGTTAACTGGTGGAGTGCTGTGCAGACCTATGACCGTTAACACTTTCAATAGAGTCGTTTCCAAGATATAGGTGTAACGGAACTGAGGAAAGACAAAGAGTCAGAGAGAGAGAGAGAGAGACATACACAGAGAGAGAGACATACAGAGAGAGAGAGAGAGAGACATAC